GAAAGAAAATGAGATGGGAAAACAATATAGCTCTAGCTCTGCGTTAGAGAAATTGGAGAGACAGAGGGAAGTTCAGATTTTGTGATGATGGTGTTTGGTGGGTAAATGAGTGATGATACATAAGGGGAAAATAAAAGAGAAAGAAAAGAAGTTAATGGAAAAAATTAAAATAAAGAAAAATGAAAGAGAAAAATAAATTGGTTATGGAATATTTAACCGAATTACTATTAATAAAATTAAAACTATAAGAGAGTCTCATATTTCTATAATCACTCCTGTCTATATAAATTGTATTATATCATATTTTTCTGGATTTTTGTTCCGACATTTTTACAATATTTTTTGGACTAATTACATTATAGATATATATATTAGTTAAAAATTATATAATAATGAGGTTTTATTACGCTCTTGATATTGAATTCTTATACGCATTCACGAGTTCTTGGGTAATGATTTTTTTTCGGATAAAAATCTTTACATGTACGAATTGAATAATTTGCTTTTAGTTCTCTCAATCCGTAACTAATCCAACCACATCTTCAATGGAAACACACATTTAACTTCATCTATTTGCCCACCTAGCCTTTCTCTACTTCAGTAATGGAGCCACCTCCTGATTAGTTATTAAAATTTGCATTAATTTACGCAATAAATTTATAAATAATATATCAATTAGGGGTGGGTAATGGGCGGGTTGGATGGATTTTGGTCTCAAATTAACCCACCCGTTTATTAGCGAGTTGGAATAATTGTGACCCGCAATCCAACCACATTCTTCTACGGGTTGGGTTGGATGGGTGGCGGATGGGTTAAGGTTGGGTCACGGGTCAACCCACAAAAGCAATTCTCCAACTAACCATAAAGAAAGTTGACTAACATTTATAATAAGTTCATAGCAAATTAGTAAGACGGTATCAATTTAGACATTTCTCACTGTGTCTCAAGTGAATCCATGTAGTATTTGCATCAAAACCTTACTACTCTATCAACCAATGAACCAATTATGTAGAGAAAACTTACGCATTTTGTGATTTTCATACAATTACTAATTTATAGTTTGCATCCCAATATTCAATATCTAATGGATATTGCACAACAAAATAACCAATAGTAGTAGTCAAAACTAATCTTTATTCTCCACATTTTGAATTATATGGTCAGACTGTAGTGCGGTTCAAAAATATGATTAATATTCGATACTATATATGAAACAACATTTTTTCATGTGAAAATACGGGTGACCCGCAATTCACCCACCAACTACCCACATAAGTGCGGGTGGGAGATATATCAATCACCCATGACTTGCAGGTCAGATTATTTTGCGAGTGAAATGATATCAATCTGCGAATTAACTACCCACGTGCCCACCCCTATTATCAATCATGTAGGAAAAATTAAAATTTTTGAAAAACAATCAAAAATATTATTTTGGCCAAAGGCCGTGGGCCCACAGCTAGTAAGTGTATAGAGAAGGGGTTTGGTGGCGTGGGGGTTTCCTAGACGATGACGAAGAAGAAGCAGCGACAACAGTGGGTGGCGATTGTACATGGGCACCGGTTAGAGCACGGCACGAGCACGGGTATAAAATAAATGGGTCAGCCCGGCACGAGCACGAATAATTTATGGGTCGTGCCGAGTCTAAATTTCATGGGCACGAGCACGGGCACGACACGGTATATAAGTGGGTCCTGTCGGGCCTAATAGTTTCGAGACTTTATTGAGTATAAGAATGGACATGGCAAGAAAATAAATATAAAAGAATTATAGGTTCAAATATTACAAAACACAAGTAGAAAAATAATTATTTGTTGTTGTTAGAAGTATCATAAAGATATATACGTAATTACTAACATAAGTAAAAATGGACAAAGAATTAAAAAAAACCAAATCACACTCGCTATACTTCCAATTTTCTTTCCCCCTTATTTGTTACTTTTCTCAAACATTTTCGGTTAATACTATTTTCCTCCGTCCAATTTTCACCTTCTTTTTCATTCTCTCTTTTGTTTTCATCATTTTTGTTAAACACGAATACGAGCATGGCACGAGCACGAATAGGCACGGCACGATTAGAACTGTGTCCGGTCTTGGGCCGGGTCTAGCAAAGTTAACAAATGGGTTTGCATGGCATGGCACGAAAACTGACGAGTCGTGCCAAGCACGTCACGAAATAAATGGGCAAAAACCATGCACGTGCCGTGCCAGCCCAAGCACGGCCCAGCGCCCATGTACAGTGGCGATGAAGGGTAAGCGGTAGAAAAGGAAGTTCGACCGGGATAGGTTCACCATTACATTCACAATTATCTGGACACAGACCAAGAAAAAAATCCTTTGTTGTGCGCGTCTTGTCTTCCTTCTGGCGGCGAATCGTGCTCGGGAATAACCATGGCCCGGCTTCCTTCTACTTCGCCCTCCGGAAAAAATGAATAGAAGCAGCGACGAGAAGAGATTCCGGCGGGAGTAGTTATGGGGCGGCGACGGCGTCATATTTTTGCCCAGAGTGTGAGGGTTGGGTTTGGCCTTGGGGTTCAGGGGAGGGATTGTTTGCTACGGTTCAGGTTAGAATTGGGATTAGGGATAAATGTGTCAATTTTTAGTGTAGTTTAGGGTGCTTTTTTACTAATTGTCGCCCTAATTTGACTTAATCGCTCTAACTTACAAATTATTATTACCCTTTTATCCTTCTCATTTTTTATTGTTAAAAATGTTTTATTCTAATAAACAAAATTCCGTCCAAACAAATTCGACATTAACTACGATTTTGATTTCCACCACCGCCTACCCTGACCCGCCGCCCGCCACCATGTCAATCGAATGCGAACAGAGGACGTTTCTCTCGGTACATCCCGCAACCTACCTACTTATAATCCAAAATAGAAATCATGCAAACCCAACATCAAATTGATCATTGCAAATTAACCAAGTACGTTGAATATCAAAACAAAGCTTCTGCCCAAATTCATAACAGAATTTGTGGAGATTTTCGGGTACAATTTCTTGTGGTGGAGTGGGTATGATAACTCTCCCTAGTCTTCCTGGTTCCACTGGTGGAATTTGGGATGGTTTTGAGGGAATACGAAAGATTACTGAAAAGGGGAACATGTGAATTGACTAATCATAGCTTCTTTTTTTTGTGTGTTAATTGTGGCAAATGGAAGGATAGCGCTAACTATAGATCGGTTGATTGTCAACCCTCTGACCCTCTCTGTATTTTCAGGACATCGATTATATATAGCAATCACAAACAGAAGCCGGCTGCGCCATTCAGGACAGAGGAATTCTACCACTCAAGCGGCAGGACAGAGGAGGGTCGATTGGAGCCCTCTCAATAGGCTACAGAAGGACTGATGGAGTTCAGATTTTTCAATGACGGAGGTGGTTTCGAGTGAATTGCAGGTTCTCGACGGCGGAGCTGGTTTGGAGGGCGGCTCTCGTTGGGAAGAAGATGAAGGCGGATTAAAAAAATGAATTTTAGGGTTGTTTGTTAAAGGTTAATTTAGTAACTTTATATTTTAAATTAGGGCGATAATAATAAAGTTAGGGCGAGATTTAGCCATTTTGTTTTTAAAATTTTAGGGATAACCCGTGGTCGAAATTGGCGAGCTTAGAAGGAAACTGGCAGATTCGTGCCAGCAATCTTTAAAGGCAATAGGCGAAGCCTCTACCTTTACAAAGGAAACTGGCGAGGTCTAGTCTAAAGATTGGCGTCAAATTTAGCAGCAGGAATTGGCAGTCGAAATTGTCGGACTTGGGAGCTGACAAGTGGGCTAGCGTTGCCCAAACCAGGAATAGGCTCTAAACTCCTGAAGGTCTTATTGAAGTAGAAGATAATTGTTTGTGCCTAGATCGTTCCAGGCGATTGTGTGAGACTACACGACTTCTGGCGGCTTCAATAGATGGAAGGCAGTCTCCTTGATCCTACAAGAAAGGTCCTCAGGTATAACCTGGGACCTCCTCCGATGCTTAAGTTAGAGAGAGAAGTGATGAATGTAAATAAGAGAGAGAATTCGGTTGATCGGAGTTACCATAAATGCTGCCCCTTTGGGACTATTTATACTAGCTTGTCTTGAGGCTGAGACATTTAATGTCATGTCGGGCGGTTTGGGACGCCTCTGGAGACATTAAATGATGTGTCAGTACGAATGTCTGATCCTCTCTGTCTGGCAGAGCCTCAGTCCTTCTATCGGGCGGTTTACTGATGTCAGCCATACGTCAATGTCAGGCGGTTACCACGATGGACTTGGACTAGACCGCCCTGCTTTTACTTAACCTTTTATGGGCTTTTGTAACCATGGGCCTCAGGCCCACATATATCAATACTAGGCCCAACAATAATCAATTACAAAATGTTAAACCTGGTTTTGTCATTTCTTCTTGTAATCAAGTCCCTTTCTGAGGCTATGTTGAACTGAAACCCTAGGTTGGTCAGATTGGTAGAACTCTGGGTATTTCCAGAATTCCAGACTATGAAGTGAAATAGTTTTTATAGTTCTTCAATGGTTTTTATCTCTGTCGCGTTCTCTCTTCAATCCCCAAGTCTTCTTAAGGGTGGAGTGGATGAAAATTTGCTAATACCTCGACTCAATAAAAAACATGAAGTTGAAGTTGTGCCTTTACTGTCACCAACCATTATGAGATACCCAACCCGAAACCAAATCCCGATACAGCTTTGGCTGCCAATTCTGGATCCAAATCAGTTAAGCCAGCCAGCCAACCAATTCAGACAGAAGCCCCAAGAAGACAAATTATCTTCTGTTGCATATTAGAATCCAGCGATCCCAACTGGAATACAAACTGCAATGATAAAAGATCTTCCAAGGCAGTCGGATCAATATGGCATAGTATAGGACCAGATGAAGAAAAGAAGTTATAAAACACTGAATATATATCTTCAGCTCCCTCAAGCGCCATCATGGAAATGGAAAATGGCAAGAAAAGCTTACAGATACTAACAAGATCCGCCAAAACTTGCAGAGCCCTCCTGGTATTGATCTCTAGGTCGTTCTAGGTGTAGCCCACTCAACACGAAGAATAAGGTTGTCATAACCATATCCATTCAGCTTGTTTATCGCTCTCTCCGCATCTTCCTTGCTTACAAAGTTGACAAACCCAAAACCTCTGCTGACACCAGTCTTCTGATCGATAGCAACATAGACACGACTCACCGGACCAAATGGGCGGAAGAGATCCAGCAAGTCGGGCTCACGTGTGTCCTCGGAGAGGTTGGTGACACGAACTGAGTTCTCTTCATTCCTGCGACGCATATCCGAACCAACACTTCTCTCAGCACCAGGCCTCATGCTTGGTGGGACATAAGAACCCTTTGTGGATCCACCTGGAGCATTAGCCTCAGATGTAGGAGGCTTATCAACAAATGATTCAGACGGGGCAGCAAGATCCTTGTACGGACACCTTGATGTCCAGTGATCTCCTTTCTTCCCACAAGTTCTGCACAACATGAGAACAGCTCCTTTGGATAGCTGAGACAAGTTATCACTGCCCATCTTGTTATCTTCCTGTTTGCTACCTGTTTCTCATTACACCAATTTGAGAGAAACGAAGATCAGCAATTATCATATGGTCTTCTGACCCAAAATTTCAAGTCCATCTGGTACCCACACAACTAAGAAATAAAACTTTCATGGACACTAATGAGCACATCTATTACAAAAAACACGAGGAAGAGGCATTAGAGAAGTGAAAAGGCACAGAGAGCAAGTAGGTCACCGGTTACAATACACTCCAATTCTTTTAACTTCAAAGCAATTGGTGGCATGCTTGTGGATGTTGCTGATGACCCATGGCAGTGAAACCAAATTACTAATAGTTCACCAATATATGCCGCCAACAGAATCTCAGTTTCGGTGGCATACTGACCATTCACATAAATCAGAAGCTCAAAGGCAAACATGTGACTGGCTAATTGACCACCATAACCACACACACAAAAAAAGAGGATGTGAATGAAACATTCAACAGCGTTCAAATGGATTGGTGCTTAAATGCCTCCAAACAGAATCACCCAACTTCTAATATTACATCATTACACCCAACACGTATTCAAGAACATGTTGGAGAACCCATAAATCAACTGAATGACAACACATAAATTAATCCGAAACAGATAAATGTATCTCTCGATGCCTTTATCAGGGAAGCAGAGACATAAGAATAAAAGCAGCCAAACACCACAATCAGTTTACTCGCATCTCAAAACTAAAGCAAGCTATCAAACAAACTTCAGATGGCAAAGAAATGACAAAGAGACGCGAAACGAACCTGGAGCCCTGGGTCGTTCAAGCAAGATCTCCTCGGTAGAGACCATTGTTAGCCGAGCCCCTACGTCCTCGTGGACAGCGTCGCCAAACTTGGGCCAATTTCTCCGCTCTAACGCCCGTCGACTCAAGCGGGCCTTGGCCAGCTTCCTCACGCGAGTCGTAGTCGTAATCTTGACCTTGTTACCGTCGTCGTTGAATTTGTACTCAATAACTCGTTTAATCCCACTCTCATCAGGTCCAATCACTTCCTTCGGAGGCAGCAGGAAGTCCAGATCCTCGCCATCATCCTCGTCCAATTCGCCCCACCGGAGCTTGCTAGGAGCGGATTTCTCGATCGCCATGTTTCGCCTGAATGATAACAAGGAAATCACAAATGGCGGCGGAAGCTCGTATGGATCGAATTCGGGACCGCCATTAGGGTTTGAGCGAGCTGCAACAGTTATACTTATAGGAAACGACCAAGGTTGTCAACCCGCGAGTTGATCCGGACCCGGATGAGCTAGTTGGTCAAGGGTTAATGGGTCACCCGTTTTAGCTTGGTTTAGCCCGGAAATATGAAAAGCGTCATTATATTGTACTTATCCTTATAAATTATATCAAATCTCATCTAACATATGAGTTATAACATATAATATTACACCAAAATAACATTTCGTACTTAGATTCAACATATGGTGAAAATTCACACACACTTATATAACATTAATATTCAAATGTTCAACTTAGGATTCCAAATATTGAGTTAGGCGAAAAGAAAAATCGGAAAATAGGCGCATTTCGCAAAACAAAGAAAAAAATGGTACAATTTGACCTCCAACCCGGTACCTTATAGCGGTCGACCCGGCAGGTGCGTGCGGCCCGTTTTTCTCACCAGGTTATGGTCAAAGTGGGTCAACCCGCGGGTTGACAACCTTGGAAACGACAATTTGGGGGTTAATTGCATAGTTGGTCACTGAGATTACAAAAAACGTTCATGTTTGGTCACCAAAAATATTTAATTTCGTTGATGGTCACTAATTTTAATGAAAACGTTCACATTTGGACACTCTCCGTTAGTCGCCGTTCATCTCCGTTAACAGAGTCCGTTAAGTGCTGACGTAGCGGACAGAATCGTCTAATCAGCCCTATTTAACCCAAATATAGTGAAACCCGACTCGCCACGTCACAGAAACCCGCCATGTCATCTGGACCAACCAAACCCTCTAACCAGACCCGACCTGTGAACCAAACCACACAAATTAAAACCTTAAATCTAGAACAGAGCCACATCCACTTATCCCCTTCGTCCTCTTCGTTCCTCTAGTACAACCTCCCACCACACACGACAGCGACATCGAAGCTTCCCTTCTCCCATCGTCTTCCGCGCCGCCTTCTATGCTTTCCGCTAGTGTCCCTGAGCTCGTCGTGCCGCCTACGAACTCTGCCGGATTGAACAATTTTGCAGCATATGGATTTGGCTAAGCTCTAAACAGGTTGACGGAGCCCGTGTGGGATATGGTGAAGACGAATCTATCGAGGATCGTGAGTAAGTTGAAGCTGTCGATCAGTACCTTCTCCACGCCTCTTACTCCCTCTCTCTTGCTCTGTGCCTACCTCCAATCCCGTTCCCGAAAAGCTCAACTACTCCCTGAAATCCTCTACCGCCTCCTTGCTTTCCCCTTTCTCTATTGCCGCTTCTTTATTCCTTCTTTCAGTCCTTTCTCGTCCCTGCACCTCAATCTCACTCCCAGAATTGAAAAATGACTAGTACTCCAATGATAGGAAATCCCCACAGAAATTTTCATTGTCGCCTCGCCCCTTGGCCTTCCCTTTCCCTCCACCGCTTCTTCTTCCTTCCTCCAATTCTACTCAATAACCGGCCTTATCTTTGTTGGGTAGTAAGCTCAATTGCTTTTCTCTTTATCGATTTTTCAAAAGATCATATGATGTAGCTTTACAAAGGTCAATTAAGTTTCAATTCCAGGATATGATTTTGCTACACCCTCATCTTTACGTTTAAGTTTGGGTTAGAGTGAGTTTTTCTCCCCCTAACTCCATTGGCACTCGTAGAAACTGCAAGTAATTTGAAGTGGATCTGTTTTAGATTTTAGGGATTTAATTTGTGTGGGTCGGTTCACAGGTCGGGTCTGGTTAGAGGGTTGGGTTGGTTCAGATGACATGGCCGGTCTTAATGACGTGGCTGGTCGGGTCTCATTATTTTTTAGTTAAATAGGGCTGATTAGACGATTTTGTCCGCCACCTCAGCACTTAACGGATTGTGTTAACGGAGATGGACGGTGACTAACGGAGAGTGACCAAATGTAAACGTTTTCATTAAAATTAGTGACCATCAATGGAATTAAATATTTCCGGTGACCAAACATGAACGTTTTTTGTAATCTCAGTGACCAACCATGCAATTAACCCCGACAATTTGTTCCGTGATTTTCTTATATACTCCCCGATAATCGGCTTTATGCAGCCCATTAAGATAAACTTGCTTCAAGCCCAGCCCACTGTGGCAGAATTAAAGTTGTATTCAAAGTTGTCAACCGGTTTAACCGTTGGCCGGTCAAGTGGTTTTAGGGTTAATGGTCTTTCGTTTTAGTATGGTTTCGTCCAAAGATTCCCAAAAAGACGCATTTCACAAATCAAAGGAAAACATCACGTTATGTGACCTCCAGCCCGGGAACCTTACTACGCGTCGATCACAGGTAGTGATGGCAACAAAACTCGAACCCACGGGTACCTTACCCGACCCAACCCGGTCAACGCTACCCGTGTTGACGGGTTTTGGACCTGGCTTGGGTTTAAACCATTCACTATTCATCGGGTTGGGTTGGATTTGGGTTGGGTTTAGGTAAACCCGCCCCATGGGTACCTGCCCACACCCATATAATTAATTTTCCTAGTATATTTAATATTCTAAACAACTAATCTTCTTAATGTTTGTGGAGACATGTCTAATTTTTTCTTTCTAATTGTATGGAATGAAGTTGATATTATTGAGTGGAGAGTGAAGAAGCTTAATTAACAAGGAGGAAGAAGCTTTCAATTAATCATGTTGTTTATGAGTAATTTGATAGGAACTTGTTATTATACATTTTTTTCCAACTAAAACCCAGCGGGTTTTACCCTGGGTTTTTTTTCACGGATAACCATGGATTTGGGTTTGGTAAAACCCGACCCACTGTCATCCCTAACCGCAGGCTGTCTTGCAAGATATGCAGCTCCAGCTTGGTATCCTTCACGGAGCCGTGGCGCAGCGGCCTCCGGGTACTTTACTAGGATGAGCATTTAGTTAGCTGATAGATCTATTGTGCATCCTAGGGGCATTGCACAGGATCTTGTCGTGACAGTAATTTGCATATCCTGCCGATTTTGTGATTCTTGATATAAATGAGGATGTGGAAGTGCCTTTGATTTTGGGTCGACCATTTCTTGCCACTGCCAAGACACTTATTGATGTGAACGATGACAAGCTGATTTTGCATGTTGGGGTTGAACAAATCACATTTTCTATTTCTGATAATATGAAACACCCCCAATTCCATGATGATTTAGGGGGTCGTTTGGAGAACGAGATTTAGGGCGTGGATTCATTGAATCCGTAGATTTTGTAGAAAGTTATGTTTTTTTGTTGCCTTTTGTATTTTGGATTTTAGCTTTAGAGATTTCAAATCTCTAAAATCTATGGATATCAAATATCTCATAATCAGAGAGATTCTATATATTGATTCATGAGATTTTTTTCTTCTACCTTTTCTCTTTTATTTATTTATTTATTTATCATATTAAATATATTTACTAACAAAGTTTTTAATATTTCTCGAACTACTCTAATTTTTTTTATTAAGGATAAACATGTTATTTAATATAAAATTTTTATTTTTATTTTCATTGAATGTTAACAATCATAGTTACCAAACAATAAACATTTTAAAGTCTATTTTTGACAATCCGAAGAGTTAGAATCTTTAGGATTGTGGACAATCTATAGATTTAAACTCAAATTCTCCAAACGACCCCTTAGACTATTGTGATGTGATTGCTGATTATGAGACCGCACTCGCTATCACAAGTGCGGGTACTAACGATTTCCTCGAGCGTTGTCTTGTGCTAGGGGAACTTGCATCATAGGATTTGCAGCTGGAAGAGCAGCTCGCGGAGCTGGAGAGTACCCAAGTCGAGGGGCAAGGGAAGCCGCAGCGGAGGTTGACTCCAAACTTGGAGCTAGTGGTCTGGGAAGAGATCGTGAAACTCATGGATGCCGGGATCACCTACGCTATATACGATAGCAAGTGGGTCAGTCCTGCTCAGGTGGTTCCGAAGAAAGGCGGGATGACGCGGTCCCGAATGAGAAGAACGAGTTGATCCCGATGCGGACTGTGACTGGTTGGAGAGTCTGCATCGACTATAAGCGTCTGAACGACGCCACCAAGAAGGACCATTTCCCGCTGCCTTTCATTGACTAGATGCTGGAGAGGCTGGCGGGCATGAGTTTTACTGCTTTCTGGATGGTATGTCTGGGTATCCAGATCCTGATTGCACCGGAGAATCAGGCTAAGACTACCTTCACCTGTCCATTTGGAACCTTCGCGTACCGGAGGATTCCTTTTGGACTATGTAATGCACCGGCGACCTTCCAGCGGTGTATGTTGGTGATCTTCGACCGACTGGTTGGAGACATTATGGAAGTCTTCATGGATGACTTCTCGGTTTATGGAGACTCCTTCTCACATTGTCTCCATAACCTTGAGATTATCCTAAAGAGGTTCTAGGAGACGAATTTGGCGCTCAGCTGGGAGAAGTGCTACTTCATGGTTCGTGAAGGTATCGTGCTCGGGCACAAGATCTTTAAACAGGGGATCGAGGTAGATCGTGCAAAGATAGAGACAATCAACAAGCTACCTCTCCATGCTTCTTTGAAGGGGATCCGTAGCTTTCTGGGTAATGCAAGCTTCTACCGGTGCTTCATCAACGATTTCTCGAAGATTTCCCTTTTATTGACCAAGCTGCTTGAGAATGACGCACCATTCCATTTCACTCTAGAATGCATAACTTCATTTGAGACTTTGAAGGGGAAGCTTACCCATGAACCCATCAAGGTGACTCCAGATTGGTCTCTACCCTTCAAGCTAATGTGCGATGCGAGTGATTATGCGGTTGGAGCTGTTCTTGGTCAGAGACGTGAGAAGCACTTCCAGCCTATCTACTACGCGTCGAGGACCTTGAACGATGCCCAGAAGAACTACACCACCACCGAAAAGGAGATGCTCGCCATGGTGTATGCCTTCAACAAGTTCTGACCGTATTTGGTGCTTTCTCATGTCGTGGTCTATACCGACCACTCAGCCATCTGCTACTTGATGACAAAAGCTGACGCAAAGCTGAGGCTCATTCGCTGGATCCTGCTTCTACAGGAGTTCGATATAGAGATGCGGGATAAGAAGGGGCAGGGAACGTTGCAGCAGATCACCTTTCACGGTTGGAAGACTCTCCAGTGGACAACTTCGTGGAGGAGATCAACGACACCTTCCCGAACGAGCAACTTTTGGCATTATGCTTGGTGGAGAGTGTCACTCCTTGGTATTCTGATCTTGCCAATTATCTGGTGGACAAACATTTATCCATACCTCTTTCCAATTATCTGGCTACTCACGCTAAGTGTAAATTCTTCTCCGACCTAAAGTACTATTTCTGGGAGGATTCATACCTCTTTAGGATCGGAGCAGATGGCGTGATTCTGTGGTGCGTGATGGACCACGATATGGGAGCTATCCTGTCTCACTGTCACAAAGGACCAGCTGGAGGTCATCACGGAGGGAACCACATGGTGTGGAAGATGCTCTAGTCGGGCTTCTATTGGCCCACGCTCTTCAAGGACGTTGAGGCCTTCGCACGCCAGTGTGATCGATGTTAGTGGTCAGGTAACATCTCTGCACGTGATGAGATGCCCCAGAAGTCCTTTTTGATTTGTGAGATTTTTGATGTCCGGGGCATTGACTTCATGGGTCCCTTTCCACCTTCGTTCTGTAATCTTTACATCTTTGTTGCTATAAGGTGGGAAAAAGCTCAACCATGCTCACCAATGATGCAAGACGCGTCTGCTCATTTCTGAAGCAACTTTTCTCCTGGTTCGGAACACCTCGAGCCATCATTAGAGATAGAGGAACTCATTTTCAGGGGCAACTCACTAAGCTTCTCTCTCTCTCTCTATGATGTGAGGCACAAGGTGTCGGTGGCTTACCATCCCCAAACAAATGGTCAAACCGAGCTGACGAACCGGGAGCTAAAACGGATTATTGAAAATACAATGGATCAATCCCGTAAAGATTGGTCCACCAAGCTCGATGATGCTCAGTGGGCATACCGGACAGCCTACAAGATGCCAATTAGGACCTCTCCCTATCGGCTTGTCTATGCAAAGGCCTGCCATCTACCTGTTGAGCTAGAGCACAAGCTGCTGAACTTTGATGTGAGTCTTGCAGGTACTAAACGAAAAATGCAGCTGGTGGAGTTAGAAGAGTGGTGTTACCATGCCTATGAGAACACCGGACTGTATAAGGAGAGCACCAAGCGTCTCCATGACGCTCGACTCAAAGGCCCGAAAGAGTTTCAGGTGGGTGATCGAGTTCTGCTATACAACTCCCGCCTGCGACTCTTTCCCGGGAAAGTTGCACTCCCGGTGGTCTGGACCATTCATGATCACCCAGGTGTTTCCCTACGACACCATCAAAATCGCCAATCCGCAGATTGAGCCCTTCAAGATAAACGGGCATCACCTCAAACTGTACCTGGGAGGTGATGTCGAACGCGCGGAATTGGTGATTGATCTCGCGGACCCTTAGCTCTGCCATGGGCGTCCAACTAAACGAGATAAAGAAGCGCTTGTGGGGAGGCAACCCCACCTCGGTTTGCATTTTCTTCATTTTCTCTTTTTGTTTTTTTAATATTGTGTGTCGTGTGTCGAAGATGGAGTTCTATGCTCATTTATCATGTCGTGTGGTATCGTTGTTTGTGAAAATTTGTTCTCGGAGTCCAGTGGGGTGTTTCTTGGTGTTTTGTGACAATTCTGGCGCGTTTGGGCGGAGAAAGGCAGAAGCTTCTTAGAAATTACGGGCCTAGGCATCAAGTTACGGTCAAGGCCGTAACTTTGGAAGTGTGGACGTAACTTCTTGAGGCCTTTTGGGGACGACTGGGGGTGATCCCCAGAAGTTATTGGCAAAAGCTTGAAGTTACTGTCTAGATCGTAACTTTCGAGCCTAGCCCGTAACTTCAAGTCGACAACCCTAGAAGGTTACATGCACATGCAAAAAGTTACGACCTCAATCGTAACTTCTTCCCCAGCTCGTAACTCTCCCGTCTCAGGAAATTGGCGAGTTACGACCATAGTTACAACCGTAACTCAGCCGATCATCCTGTAACTGAATGACTCAAACCGAGTCAATGAGTTACAGCCCAACCTATGGCTGTAACTCACCCGATGAAGCAGTAACTTTGGCTTCGTCTATAAAAGGGCGAGCTACGCCCGTCACTCCGCACCAGAACAACGAACACACCTCGTTGGAGAGCTCCGTCGCCGATCTTCCACCATACTTTTCGGCCGCTCCCGACCTCTGATCGCGGTGCCGTTTGAGACGTTGGGTTCCTCTCAGCGAGGCGGACCTGTCGGCTCCCCCTGCCCCCATTGCCGAAATTTATTCCTCTCCGGAAATCGCCTCTGTCGACCCTCCGATTGGTTTTACCCGAGTCCGAGTCTGTCAGGTATTCTCCCGCCTGCCTCCTCATTCTACCTTCTTTCTTGTGTCTCCAGGTTGGTCTTTTTGCCTATATCTGTCTTTTTGGAGAATCGAATTGTAGAGTGTATGGTGAATTGGACCTATTTCATGCTTAGATGTTTAGGAGGGAGAATGTAGTGGCATGTGTGTGAGGTGTGCTTGAAACTGTTAGTACCTGAATTTTTGCCTGATCTGCAGTTTTCATACTGTCGTATAGTGGATTGAGCTTAAGTGTGGGGGAATGCTGGCCCTATTGGCCCGATTTCCCCGATCATTTTGGTTACTAACAGGTTTCGAGGTGTGTGGTTGTCTGCTTTGTAGGATGATGGTCAACATGGACCATGCCTTCCTCCAAGGCCTCCGGTACACCGAGGCCTACGATACTGCCTTCGCCCAAAATGCGAACTACCGAGATTGGGGGTACACTACAGCCTCAATCTCGACTACTTCCACCAGTTCTTGTGCCGTCACGCCATCGCGGCGGCCATTCCTCACCCTCATTGGCGCCGCCTGTTAGAACTCCAGGACGACATCTTCGAGGAGCTCACCTTGGAGTTCTATAACACCTTCAACCACACTAGGAAGAGGCTGCCTTCCCATGCTGGCACGGTCAGCTTTCGCCTTGGAAGCCACCACCACAGTTTGAGCTACAACGAGTTCAGCACCGCCCTCGGTCTGGACTCCGCTCGGATGTTCGAGGTTGAGCCTACCTTCCCGGAGGCCGACTAGCAGGGATTCTACAAGCAGATTTTTCTGCACCAGTATGTTGCAGTCCCCTATGCTCATAGCCAGACACGGGCTAGTCAGGTGCAGGCCTCATGGCGCTTTCTCCAAGCGTTGCTCGCTCACTATGTCATCCCTAGTCAGGAGGCTTCCAGGCAGGTGACGAAGTGCCACATGTACGCCCTCCTCTCCACAAGCATTGTCCGTGACGACCTCGACTTGGGGTATGTTATGGAGATCTCCTTTTCCCGGGTGAGGAACCACTCGAAGGTGCTGACTCTGTACGGCGGCCCCTACATTACCCGCCTCGACCACTTACTTTGGCGTGCCGCTGGACGACTGCACCCTAGTCGGGCGCACCAGGGACTTCCCCGACGAAACCCTTGGCTCCATGGGGATGATTCGGGTTGCTAGGAAAGACCCGCGGATCCGATGGATCAAGGACCTGCGCCCGGCTGAGTTCGATGAGGTGGCGACAACAGAGCCTCCACCCGCCTTCGCCCATCCAGGACGCGTTGCAATTATTCCCCGATAACCCTGGTGGTGGATCTTCTTCATCTTCACCAGCCAGCGCATACTGGCCCGCCATGTAGGCTCGCTTTGATCGGATCGAGGCACGCCTAGATCGTGAGTGCGATGCCAGGCGTTACACTCACTTCCTGCTGGAGCACCTATTCTCGTCAATTGACGTGGACACTACCCAGACCTTCCGGCAACCTTCTTCGTCAGAGGATGATGAGGAGGAGGATTGAGACTGAGCTTGATCATAGGCTTCATGTGTTGCGTTATTTGTTATTTTGTGTTTTGTTATTTTGAGTCGAACTGGATTTCAGTGTGTTTTTGTTTTATTATGTCCCATGGGGCTGACACTTATGCTCCTAACTCGTACCCAGTGTGAGTGGTTTTGTTGTGCCTTGCCGTGTTTTTCCGAAACTGGTCCTTTCCAGTCTGCTCCAGCTGATTGTCCCATTTTCAGTCCCACTACAGTCCGTTTTTCCGGTAACATCGTTCTCCTTATCCTTCCCTCTTCTCCATTGAGGGTAATGTCGTGCTTAAGTTTGGGGGTGTTTATCTTTGACTGTATAGATGTGTTTGTGTGTTTGGAGTCTAGTCCACTGTCCAAATTTTGATTTGAGGGCTCCAAGCAGGGACAGAGCCAGGATTCTTGATTAGGGGGGCCAAAATAAATTCAACATACTTATAATATAAGTAATATTACGTGTAAATCGTTCACAAATTTTTTAGTCTATTGCCCACTTAAAATTGTGTAAAAATTACAAAGTCGTGACTTATCTCTTATAAAGTAGTGATAAAAGAATCATGTGTTTCATATCATATTCTACCAATTTCATAATTTCCAAATTCAGACAGAGTCTAATAGTAAAATAAAGTAGTGAATATTTAACTATTTATAGAGAGAAAGATCATAACTTTTTTTGTAAGAAACAGTAAGCCACTTGCAAGGAAAGTGACAAAAAACTTAAAAACTACATGAAATATCTCTTAAACTCATGATAAAAGAACCATGTGTTTCATATTATATACTTATCAATTTCATATTCAGAAATTCATATATAATTCGATATTAAAATGAAGTAGACACGAATTAGCTTTAATAGAGGGTAGAAATTGACAAGAGCTTGAATACATGGAAAACTAATATAATTAAGCTAAAGAATATAGAGGCAAGGTTAAGAACTTAAAATTAAACTAAGAAAACATAGTGTGGACAGAGTTCAAACCCAATACCTCCTTCTAGAGGCACTCTCAGTTTACGCTGCAAACCATTACGCCATCAAATTATATATGTAATGCTCTTATGTTAAGATAGTTTTTATAATCCTGGGGGGCCATGTCCCCTCCCCCCTAAGCACACACTGGCTCCGTCCCTGGCTCCAAGTACTGTTCCTAGCAATAACCTGCCAGTATGCTTTGAATTGACAGTCTTTATGGTTATATGCAACCTAGGGAGGCAGTTGTAGCAGTACTATGGAGGATGTTGAAGTATAAGATTTTTCCTATCTGTCTCTTTGCTGAGTCGGTTGATTTTTGGAACCAGTGGATTTAGGACCCATGATTAATGTGGTATGGATGACTCCCCTATGCTGTGTTGTGGACTCGTGTATCATAGATGGTGATCAATTGAATGAAAAAGCAGTTAGTCCTCCATGTCGGAAAATTTGAAATTTTAAACATGGGGTAAGCCCAACGTGTGTGGTAACGTTCATTGCACAAAAACGAATTTTGGAAGAGATTTTAGTGATCTTTAGTGGGGTACTCCTACAAGGTGAAGATAAGCTGTCTCTAGAACAAGTAAAAATTCCATCGGTTGAATGGTTTGCCTACTCGAGGATGTGTTTTTAAGGGCACAGATAGAGCTTCCGACCCCCCTTGATTTCATTAGCTCTCCACATGACTCAAAGAAAAGGAGTTAAAAGAAGTACTATGGCGAATGACAGATGTACAGAAATTGCTCGTGCTCAATCAATAAGGGCCGACCGCGCATAAAACTACAATTTGGAACCCATCAAAGTGTGAATGAGAAAAACAAGAGAAAAAGAAAACAAAAGTATGAAGAAGGGGTTCCAACGAATGAAATAGAATGCAAGAGCACCTGATACGAAGAGGCCTTTGTTGTTAAATTTGTGAGTCTCTTTATCCATGAATTGACTATCCTAGTTCCACTGTTTCTCATGATCTTGGCTTGAATCTAGTACTCTCATTTAGAGAGATAGGAGACGTCTTAGAAGACCAATTGATCTCGTAAGTTGCTAAATGATCTAGGAAATCCTCTACCGACGATTGGGGTTGCATGTTGCTATAAAGATCTGGACAGTTGCATTGATTTGAGTCAGGTTTTCTTGCGGACAAGCAAACGGTTAAGTGTGGGAGAATTTGATAACGCTATATTCGAACATGTTTTCCCTACCATTTCTTGATTGTTTGAGCTTGTATTCTCATTATCATGGCCCGTTTTACGCTAGGTCATGTTGGTTATGGTGTTTCGGGTCCTAGTACGTGAACGGGGGGCGAAAGAGTGAGTTTCCGGACAATTTGGAGCGAACGTCCAGAAAGCTGGGAGGAGTTACGGGCCAACCTTAGGACTTACGGGAAAATTTGGAGCGAATGGGCAGAAAGCTGTGAGGAGTTACGGGCCAACCCTGGGAGGAGTTACTGGCCAACCTTGGGTGTTCGGGACAATTTGGAGCTTTTTGGAGTTACGGCCAGACCTTCAAAGTTACGGTCTAGATCGTAACTCATCCTTGCAACCGTAACTCCTGGGTAGCGACGACACCAGTTCTAGAGGCGTTTTTGGATTTATGGCCTCCCCTCTCAAGTTGTGGTTGAAGCCATAACTCCCCCTAAGGAGCCGTAACTCTTGGTTTACGGAGTGCAGTGACGACGTCGTTTGATGGAGAGTTACGGTATGGCAAGCCAAATTATAGTCGTAACACACGGATTCTCAGCTTATAAAAGGGCTGCTCGGGCAAAAGGCAAAGGATCCGAATTTTCTGAGTTCTAAAGGCAGAAAAAAACCCTAGAGAGAGAGAGAGAGATAGTGACAAAGGAAAACCCTTAGGAAAGGATTGGAGTGATTCCGAAGACTTCAGAGCTCGATTCCTCAACCTAGGAGCAATGCAGTCAAAATCGCGCTTTAAAACTTAAAAACTTATGATTTTACGCTTTTAGGTCACCAAAACGCTTTCGTTTCCTTCTAAAAACTTAAGTGTATAAAATCGGACTAAATTGCGCTTTAAAGCTTAAAAACTTATGGTTTTACGCTTCTAGTTCACCAAAACGCTTTACGTTTTTACGCTTTTAGTTCACTAAATGAGTATTATTTTCTTGAAATTAATTATAATAAGTATATTTGAAAAGTAAATCACCAACAATATGATACATTTGAGATTAGAATATACATATCAGGTACTTGGATGCATTCTCAACTTCAATAGCGTAATCTAATTCACATGCTAGACTTTTCCCAAATTCATTAGCATAGAAGGAAAAGTGGCTTATTGTTAAAATTTATGTTTACGAACTTATCATTAAGATGCTATAAGTTGCTGCTACTTGAAGCATGAATTGCATGTATTTATTAACTTATCTGTGCATTCATATTTTATATAGTATATGTCCTATTTAATAGATTTTTAATTATTTTTTAGTATGCGTAAAAAATTACG